TGAACCGGAGCCCCATCGTGACACCTAGAGGCCAGAGAAAGCGACTACAAACCTCCCCGCCACCGCTTACCTGCGCCCGCGCCCTGCACAGAACTCGCTCCGGCCGCCGAGGCCCCGCCGACCCAGCCCCGCACCTAGCCCACCAAACCCCACGGAACTACCTCAACCGCCACCCCACACCTAGCGGCAGACTCGCGGTTTAATCACTCCCACCGTCGCTTCAGACACAAAATGGCTGCGGGCGGCGGTAGTGCGCGTGCGCCAACACGACTGCTTGCGGACCCGCCAGCCCGGGGTGGAAAGGGGAGGGGACAACACACGGGGCGTGTTGGAAGCCGGCGAGGTTGTGGGACGCGCGCTAACTTCAAACGTGTGTGTGCGTCTATCCGTCACGCGGGGTGGGGCAAGTTCAGCTCAGCTCCCCCTCCCTTAGCTTCACCTGAGCTAACACTTCTCCCTACACTTAAGCAAGAGGGATCGAGGGCATCTTCATTAAGTTTACAAATGACACTAAGTTGGATGAGAGTGTTCATCTGCTGGAGGGTAGAAGGCTCTGTAGAGGCATCTGCATAGGTGGGATTGATGAGCTGTGACCAATGGTTCAATAAGGCTTAGTACTGGGTCCTGCACCTGGGTCACCACAACCCTATGCAATGCTACAGGCATGAGAAAGAGTGGCTGGAAAGCTGTTCATGGAAAAAGATCTGGGGGTGCTGATTGACAGAGCTGAACATAAGCCAGCTTGTGCCCAGGCAGCCGAGACTGCCAATGGCATCCTGGCTTGTATCAGAAATAGCATAGCCAGCAGGGCCAGGGAAGTGATTGTCCCCCTGTAATGGACACTGGTGAGAGAGTCTGGCTGGAGCCATAGCCTGGGGCTGGTGGCATCCATATGTATGTTAGAGGCATGTGAGGAGGGCTCCTGCTCTGTCCTAAGGCTCAGAGGAGCATCACTTGGGTGCGGAGGATGTGGCAGAACTTGTGCTGTCGGCATGTTCCCCCTCTGCTACCCCTGCCTCACCGGTGGCTTTTAGCAACCAGATTTACCCCATGTCTGCCTGTTTGGCTGCCACCACTTTCCTCCAGGGACACCCTTCCCAGAAGGGGCCAGTTTGGACCAGCAGCTCAGGACAAACAGAAGAGGTGCAGGATGAGGGCAAAGCTCCTGAGATGCCATCTCGTGGTGCCAGCTTCAGGAGCAGAGTGCAGCTCTGAAGGTGTCAGGAAGTCTCCCTGCATCTTCCACAGGGATGGAGCATGGAAGTGCCAGTCTCAGAGCATGGAACCTCATTGGCTTCCCATCTCTGATAGCGGAATAGACTCCACAACTTGGTTAAAGTTGTAAAGTAGGTATGCTTTATTCAGCTGAAGACGCACGGGGGATTGGTCCTCCAAAAGGCATGCGTGCCTCAGTGCCGTTATCCTTTTACATTTATCCTGTAAAGTCATACATAGGTATTAGGTCGCACAATACGCCTATACATATTCATATTCTATCCCCGCTTCGTATTATAATGAGCTAAAAGGCGCTCCACGCATGCGCAGTGCCTCCTGCTGGTCTTGGGCAGGGGTCTTCAGATGAAGTAAGTAGTCTTCCTCTTGTGGGTAGGGGTCTTCAAGATGAAGTAAACGAGTCTTCCTCAGGCTTGAACTTTTTACCTCTGGTCCTCACGCATGCTCTTTAGGAGCTGGATGGGTCTGGTCCATGTCTAGCTGGTTTAATGAGCTATTCCCTTCACTAGGAAGCCTTATCTTAGTGCTGTCTGATAAGGCAACTGCTGGGCTTGTCAAGCCAGCCATGATTTAAGCAGTACTCCTTGTACAACCCTCATTCTCCTCACTAGGGGGTTTTGTTCTGGTATTTGTCTGATAAGACATCTGCTGAGCTCGTTAAACCAGCTATGACTTAAGCAGTGCCCCCCCCCCGTACATTTTGACAACCCCCCTGTACATTTTGACAACCCCCCTGTACATTTTGACAACCCCCTTGTACACAATAGGCCACATCAGTTTCAATCTCAGGAGCAGGGATTGCTCAGAAACCTCCTGGCTGTCCAATGTGCTCTCCAACACATGATTTCCTCTTGGGTTTATATGTGCCTTGCTGCAGGATCCGGGATGGGGGAGCTGCAGGCCATCGGGGAGAGGAGCTGATTACTACTACTACTACTGATTATTTGATTCTATGAAAGCTCACGCCAAGAGGAGCAGGAGGCTGTGCCACACAGCTCCAGGGGCTCCTGAGGATGATAAGGCCATGGCAAAAGCCCACACTGACATTGTGCCTTCTCCTGTGCAACAGAGAGGTTTGTTGGTTGAAAGACCAAAGCTTAAGCTGGGAGAGGAGTCAGTAATATTATGAATTAATCACTAGGAAGGTTGTAGGGGCAATTTACCAACAAGTTACTGGAATTAGGTGGTGTTTTCCTGGTGGTTTTAAAGGACCTTGGGCTTACCAAGCTCGTAATCCAGTGGGACAAACTGCTCAAGTTTCAGTGCTGCAGGAAGGGTGAATGTGGTGCCAGGGATTTAGTAGGGAGCTTCTAGGGAAGCCAACATGGTTGGGCCATATCCATCAGAAGTTTGACTCCACAGTATTTTCTGTCTGTCCACAACTTTCCCCTTCTAACCTCCAGAGGTGGAACTAGCCACGGCATCCAGTGTGAATTTGTATGAGAAAGCACAGGGGCTGTATTTTATTTTCTGTAGTTTCCTATGAATCTTCTAGGTTTAACATACTTTCTCATCTCTGGTAGCATTGTCACAGACCTCTAGCTGACTGACAGGCAAGCTGAGGGGAGAATTCAGTGAGCTTGTGCTGCATCTTCTTTGTATCCTTTTGCCATAAAAATATGTGAAATGGAGCTTGAGTGATAGGTTAAAATATTAATAGTTTAAAAATAAGATGTGTTGGAAGGGAGCTGTGTTTTTTACTTGCCTATCAATCCCTGGAGAACAATAAGGCCAGGGATTCGGAGAGAAGACTAAACATAAAGAAACCTCTACACAAACCCATGCTAGTAGGACTAACAAGTTATAAGGCTGTTATAGTTGAAACCAATATTAATGATCTTGCCCCAAATTTTTGCCTCTTTATATGCCATTGCAGGGCAGAGTAAAAGCTGTTCAGCAGCCTAGGCTTTACCCCAATCCGCTTAGCAAGCAACAAAGCCACCAGGCAAATGTAGCATACATTAGCATGTGTAACCTGGGCCCTAAATCCTATTTTGAATGATGCTTATGTTGAATGCTTATGTTGAGCTGCATCGTGGAGAGAAGGGGCTGTCCCACTGCTGCTCTGTGAGGGTGGAGTTGGGCTGAGAGATGGTGGTGAGCAAGAAGGTCCAGGTCCGGACCCTGCTTTATGGGTTTCTCCTACCAAAGCTCTCCTGGTCCTTGTGAAGAAGCAGAACATGTGTGGCAGTGCCATGGGCTGCATTCTGAGCACTGATGCTCCTTTTGGGGCTGTTGACAACTGAGACCAAGTTTCCTTCTGAGGACTGTGACACCAGGCTGAGCCCATTAATTTGGTACAATGGGGAGCTGTAGCTTGAGAGCAGCCAGAGGGGATGAGCTGTGTTGAATCACGAAGATGTAGCTCTGTTTCTGCAGCCTTAGCTGAAGGAGAAAAAACTATTTACACAGCAATGGCAAAAAGCATCCATTAATTCTGAAAGGTGATAGGGTGCAGCCCACAGCATGACCCCTGGGGTCTTCCTTGAATGAGAGATTTGAATCACAGAAATAGAATATCCAGAACTGGAAGGAACCCACAAGGATCTTGGAGTGTAACTCCTGTTGGACTATCAAAAGCTTTGTTGAAATCCCAAAATACCCCATACCCATTGCCTTCTCTTCGTTGCTGTAAAGGGAAATTAAGTCAGTACAGCATGAAGAACATTTCTGTGGAAATGAGATTCTGCAGTGTGAATTCTTTCAAAATCAGTTACATTTATCCTAAGCTGTCAGCCCATCAATCCATGTGCTGTAATGTTTCCAGAGCAGCACATCTTTTGTGTGTAGCCATGAATCCTGGTTTAAGCTCAAAACTTAGTTCAGGCATGACTCAAAATGGAGAGGAGCACTGGCTGTATGTAAAATTGCTTCTTATGCTCCTTTAAATACCCAGGGCTGGGAGTTGTTCTGGCAAACACCTATTCCTGGACTTCTGCCAGAAGTGTCCCTGACCATCTCTATCAATGTGTGCTTTGGGTCTGACCTATTGATCCTGTGTTTGTCACTTGGAGGCACCTTTGAGCTGATTTGCAGGGGATTTGAGCTCCCCATCCCCCAGCTTCAGTCCTAATTCTGGGTGCTCCTGAAAATCACCCTCCAAGCCTGTCCGAACTACACACCCAGAGGCAGATGATCTTTCTTGAAAAGCTGCCTGAGTGAGGCCTTTCCCACAGATGCCTTGCCCATGAGCAGAATGGCAAGAACTGAAGCTGAGGAGCTCCTGACCACCTTGCCGAGGCCCCAGGGCGAGCTCACCCGCCTCCTTCCCCACTCTTACTAGCGCTGTGCTTCCATCACATTGTACAAGCCCTCAGGAGCCATCCCCCTCCCCTCACTCAGCTCTAAGGAAGACAGTAGTCAAGTTTGAGAGCCAGCATTAAATTAAGTCTTGGAGTTTGTCTGGAGCATGCTTTGGTCTCTGAATGGAGGCCCCAGTTGTCATCCCAAGGAGTGGTCCTTGGATAACAAGCCCATATGTATGTGCCTGACAGCCCTGTGAGGAACACATCAGTGATCACAAGGAGGTTGTTGTTCAGCCCAGACTACTTATCTGTTGGAATCATTTCTAAGCATCCTAATGAATGCCTTGGGAACACGATTTCATACAAGCCTGGGATAAGGTGAGAGATCTGACACTGAGGCTGTTCAAACTGGAAATTACCAAACTACAACCCCCTAAAAATTAGTTTGCATCAAGATTTAAGTAATTTCTTATACAAGGACTGGCCAGAGCTTGTGGCATTCCAAAGTGGCAGCACCTGCTTGGGGTGATCCTGGCTGGTGAGTGCTCTTGGTGTCACAGCATGGGCAGCTGCACCATCCCTGATGCTGTTCAAGAGGAGGGTGTGTTGGTTCATCAGTTATTTTGTGCTGATGATCTGCAGGGGCTCCTCAGGACAAATAGATACTGCAAAGTGTTCCAGAATCCATCTGCACCCCTGTGATTAAAAGAAAACCAGTAGTAAGTGGGGAAAAAGAACTCCTTTCCAAAGCCAGACCACATGGGTAATGCAAGCGTGATACAGACACCCTCCCACAGGCTGCAGCTTCTACAAGAAGAACAAGTAGCTGCTGAGCACCAGCATGTCTGTACCAGAGGGAGATGGTTCAAGCGCTGACACAGATTTGGCTGACAAATGTGGTGCTGGCACACTGTCACCTTTGAAGCAGCAAATACGCTGTTGCAAAATCTCTCTGTGGTGCTGTGTGGGTCCCTGTGTGCTGTTGAGTTCACCCCGTGAAGCACTGCAGTTCCTGCGCAAGGGCTGGATGAGATGGTAAGTCCCAGAGGGAAAGGTTGAGTCCCCTGCCTCCTTTCAAACATCTGGCTCATGTGATGCTTGTCATACTCTTTCACAGCCCTAAAAAAAAAAAACAAACACCAAGCAGAATGCAAACTGCAGTGAATGTTTTCAGTGAGTGCTGTCCAAAACAACAAGTATTTTTAAAGTTTATTGCAGTTAAAATGGCAGTTCTGCAATTCCAGGTGACCTGGCAGTGTCCATGGGGCAGAGGTCTTTGGTGATGCTGGCATAGACCCATTCAGAGCAAAGGGCTGGGCAATAGATTCCTAAATTAATCTGTTTTGTTGTAGTCCCCCCAGTGTTCTTAAACCCACATAAACAATGAGATTTTTCCTTACAGTTCCAGGAGCAGACGTTTTGTCCTGACCCGCAGCTCCCTGCCTGCCCTGACAGAAGACATAAGATGTCTGGTCTGCTTTCCACCTCTCAGGTTCTCGTCCACAGTTTTATGTGCCAGGTGGGACCCACATCCCACATCTATTACTGCCTGCAGCAGACAGTGTGATGCAGTGCTTTGAGAGAAACACTGTGTTTCCCTCCTGGGGCTTGTCCAGCCCCCAAAGTAGGTGGAAGAAGGCTCAGTGAGCAGTGATGCAGTAAAGTATCCTTTGGTTACGTCCTTCCCACAATCCCATCTGCAGATAAAACTGCATCTCAGAGTGGTTACTCTAAGGTGGTGTTCCATCTGGGAAATCTCATGCACCAGGACATGCTCTGCATCTGCTCCAGCATGGATGGCTGGTGGTGCCATGGGGGCCCCTGCCCCTGCTGCCTTTTGGGGCATCTTTGCTGCTCTAACTCCCCTCCCAGGACCATAAGATGATTAAGGGATTGGAGCAGCTGTCACATAAAAATAGGCTGAGGGAGATGGGACTGCTTTGCTTGGAAAAATGAAGGCTCGGATGGGTTCTTATCCATGTCTGGTGGGGGGTGAAGAAGGCAGAGGCAGATGCTCCTCATTGGTGCCCATTGAAAGACCAAGCACCAAAGTGAAGCTGAAATACAGAGATTTGAGTTAAACTTCAGAAAAGCATCTTCTGTGAGTGTGGTCAAGCACTGGCACAGGTTGGCCAGAGAAGTTCAGACATTTCCATCCTTGGAGATACTCAAAACTCAACTAGATGAGGTCCCACACTCTAGTTGACCCTGCTTTGCGCAGCATTTCCAAAGGTCCCTTCCCACCTTAACTATTCTGTAAGTCTTTGATCTGTGTGTCTCAGTGATGAGACCAGCATCTGGGGCAAAGAACCACCCACACAGTGACACTGTCATCATTAAAGGTTTGGTTTTATTTCTGGTTTAAATACAAATTAGTCATTCTCTGTAATTACATTATATATAGATTCATAGAGACATTATAGGAAATAATTTTTTGCCTTTTCTGCAGAAATCTGTAAATAAAAAAGAAAATCAAACAAACAGAACCAAAAGGTGGCACCTTCTGTCTGTGGGTCTGTCTGTCCCTCTGCTGCTCCTCCTGTCCCTGCCCTCCATGGTGCTTCTCAACAGACCAGGAAAGGCTCTGGGCTGGGGTCACATCTCACCAACGTTCTCTACAGCCACAGTCAGGGAGGGGCAGGAGCATGTGGAGCTGGAAAGAAGAAACACCAGCAGAATATGCTAATATCTCATATCTCATTTTATTGAAGTCCTGGGGACTTCAGATGGCAAAGGGCAGTGGTCCCTACAGCCTGGGCAAAGCAAACGGTGTGGTTTCCAAAGTGCAGCTCCAGAAATCTGCTAGTCTCTGTGCTGCTGACAGGGCAGGACAGGTGGCCTCTTGGTGTGGTTTAAATAGCAATCAGAGGGTGGGATGTGCAGTAAGTCTCCCTCTGCCATGGGTGCTCTGTAAATCTGTGTGGTTGCAGTGAGCTGCTGTGTGGGTGCTGTTGCAGTGTGATGCCAGGAGTGGCACAGGCCTGGCAGTGCCTTGGCCGTCAAGGGATGGCAGAGAGGTTGCATGGTTTCTCAGAAAGCTGTGCTGGCCATGCTAGCTGGGGCAAAGATCTGTGGAAGGCTGTCCAGAGTCTCCTCCAACCCCTGGTGAGCTGATTTGCCATCTTCCCCTGCAAGAACACGCTGTGATCAGTGAAGTGAGTTCCAGAAGCTCTGTTCTATTCCCATACCCAGACACCTTCCTTGGCCTTTGTCATGGTTTAAACAAAGTCAGCCATAAATTACGCAGTTGCTCTCTCACTCCCCCCCTTTTTGCCCTCCCCCTGCTCCCAGAGGGATGGGAAGGAGAATCAAAAGAATGCAACTCCCATGGGTTGAGATAAGAACAGTTTAGTAACTAAGGTATAACACAAATCACTACTGCTACCACCAATAAAAATAATGATAAGAGAAATAACAAGGGAAGAGAATACCCTCACCACCTGCTGACAAGTAACTCACCCCACCCCACCTGACCGAGCACCGACCAATACCTTGTCCAACCCCACAGTCCCTAGCCTTTCCGGGTAACTCTCAGTTACATCCTGGGCATGACATGCTGTGGTATGGAATACCTCTTTGGCTAGTTTGGGTCAGGTGTCCTGTCTCTGCTTCCTCCCGGTTTCCCCTCCTCCCTCGCAGAGCAGGAGGCTCAGAAAGTCCTTGGCCAGACCAAACATTTTGACAAGTAACTGAAAACATCGGTGCTATTAGCACCATTCCCAGGCCGAAAGTCAAAAACACAGCGCTGCACCAGCTACCAAGAAGGAGAAAAATGACTGCTACTGCTGAACCCAGGACAGCCTTTCCAGGGAAACATGGCTAATGACTGGCAGTGCTGAGACTGCATGATATGACCACAGAGTGAAGACCTTTCTTGTACTCCTTAGCACACCCTTGGGCAAGTCTCAGTTGGGATCTGGATCAAAAAGCCCCCAGAGCTCCTGCTGTGGATCACAGTATGTTAGAGATTGGAAGGGACCTCAAAAGATCATCTAGTCCAATCCCCCTGCCGGAGCAGGAACACCTAGATAAGGTTACACAGGAATGTGTCCAGGTGGGCTTTGAATGTCTCCAAAGAAGGAGATTCCACAACCTCCCTGGGCAGCCTGTTCCAGTGTTCCGTCACCCTCACTGAGAAGAAGTTTCTTCTCAGGTTTAAGTGGAACCTCTTGTGTTCCAATTTATACCCATTTCCCCTTGTCCTTTCATTGTTTGCCACTGAGAAGAGCCTGGCTCCATCCTCGTGACACTCCCCCTTTATATATTTATATACACTAATAAGGTCACCCCTCAATCTCCTCTTCTCCAAACTATAGAGACCCAGCTCCCTCAGCCTCTCCTCATAAGGGAGATGCTCCACTCCCTTAATCATCTTAGTTGCCCTGCGCTGGACTCTCTCCAGCAGGTCCCTGTCCTTCTTAAACTGAGGGGCCCAGAACTGGACACAATATTCCAGATGAGGTCTCACCAGGGCTGAGTAGAGGGGAAGGAGAACCTCTCTTGACCTACTAACCACCCCCCTTCTAATACACCCCAGGATGCCATTGGCCTTCTTGGCCACAAGGGCACAGTGTTGGCTCACGGTCACCCTGTCGTCCACCAGGACCCCCAGGTCCCTCTCCTCTACACTGCTCTCTAACAGGTCGTTCCCCAATCTATACTGGAACCTGGGGTTGTTCCTGCCCAGATGCAGGACTCTACACTTTCCCTTGTTATATTTCATCAAGTTATTCCCCGCCCAACCCTCCAGCCTGTCCAGGTCTCTCTGGATGGCAGCACAGCCTTCTGGCGTGTCGGCCACTCCTCCCAGCTTAGTGTCATCAGCAAACTTGCTGATAGTACACTCAATTCCCTCATCTAAATCGTTGATGAATATATTAAATAATACTGGTCCCAGTACCGACCCTTGAGGCACTCCACTAGATACAGGCCTCCAACTAGACTCCGCCCCATAGACTACAACTCTCTGGCTTCTCTCCTTCAGCCAGTTCACAGTCCACCTCACTACCCTATCATCCAGACCACACTTCCTCAATTTAGCCGCAAGGATGCTGTGGGAGACCGTGTCAAACGCTTTGCTGAAGTCAAGGTAGACCACATCCACCGCTCTGCCATCATCCATCCACCGTGTTATTTCCTCATAAAAGGCTACGAGATTGGTCAAGCAGGACTTCCCCTTGGTGAAGCCATGTTGACTGCCCCTCATAACCCTCTTATCCTTGATATGCCTTAAGATGGCACCAAGGATAAGGTGTTCCATCACTTTCCCAGGAATGGAGGTGAGGCTAACCGGTCTATAGTTACCTGGGTCCTCCTTCTTGCCCTTTTTGAAGACAGGAGTGACATTTGCTTTCCTCCAGTCCTCAGGCACCTCTCCCGTTTCCCAAGACTTGGTAAAGATGATGGAGAGCGGTCTAGCAATGACCTCAGCCAGTTCCCTCAGCACCCGCAGGTGCATACCATCTGGACCCATGGATTTATGGATGTCCAGATTGCTCAACTGGTCTTTAACCCATTCCTCATCGACTAAGGCAAACTGCTTCATTGACCTATCTTCATCAGAGGTCTCAGCGGTACAGGGCTCTTCAGGACTGCCTCCGGCAGAGTAGACAGAGACAAAGAAGGCGTTCAGTAACTCTGCCATCTCTGTTGCACATCATGTTCTTTAGCTGCCTCCCCACACAGGGCGGGGATCA